CTGAACAATAGTTTGAATCTAATTAAACAAAACCATGAGTAAAAACAAAACAAAATAAAACTAAATTTTAAATGATAGCTATAAACTAAAATTAGAAAGAGTCACGAAAAGCTAAGGTAAATAAAACCATATCTAGAAACTAAAACTAAAAACTGTATAGGCTAAAACAAGCTAAACATTCATTTGAAGCTAAAACTATAAATAAATAATCAAACAAACAAAGCTAAATGATAGTTAAAAGCTAAAAAGAGCAAAAAAGAAAATTGTAAAAAGAGCAAAAGATGACTAAAGAAATTGCAGAGTTGTAAAGCTGGATCCAGTGGATCCAGTGGATCCAGTGGATGAAGCTGATCCAGTAATTAGTTCAGCAAAGAGTTTACATTTAATGAAAAACGGTAAAACAGTTTACAGCAAATGATTTACAGAGAGAGAGAAAAAAGGTTTATGACATCAGCAAAATTAAACATTTTAAACTTCCTTTATCACAGAGCTCTAATGTCTTTGGATTTTATTCATTATATACAAAAATTAAATTCTAATAAATAAATTCTAGTAAATTATAAATACAGTACACACCCTTTTATTATAACAATTGTAATAAAAAGTTATATTATTATTAAAATGTAAAATTTGGATATAAATTTTGATTTTGATTTTATTGAGTTRTCGCATTCATCTCAGAAAAAAACATGGTTTACATTTTTTGTTACATTTGAATTTATTTATAATTTTGTGTTTGAACAGACTTTAGATTAAGTTTTCTGAACCTTGTCTTGAAGCAGAGTTTGACTATATTTAGACCTCACGCACATTTTATCTAAAAACTGGCAGAACTTGTAGGAAACAACCATTTTTAAAAGCTCCTCTGAGACATTTTTTTTTACATGAATCTCTCTGGAAACGGTCAAATATTCCTTCCACAGATTTATGCTTCATGGAAAGTTCTGCAGTCATTTCTGTGGGAGTTGCAGAGAGTGGTACAAACTTGCACAACATGTGAACTCTTTGCTGTTGTTGATATTTCTTTAGTTGCTTATATCTCAGAGTTTATTCAAGTCTGGACTTGTCATAAAAAAGAGCATCATTTTCATATCAGTCCTCATTGTATCTTGATATTCTTTCAGTTTCTGGGATGTGTTTTCATTAAATTCAATGCATTCTCATTTTAGTTTGAGGTTTTGTACCATGCAGTGAGAACGGACTGTGTTTTTTTAAAAGGAAACAGCTCCTGTGTTTGCTGAACTTTGGATTCAACAGTAGATGTTTAACTTCTAGATTTATAACCAGACATTTTCAGTAGGTTTTACCTGACCATTGGTGTCGACGATGATTCTAAATGGGTTTCATTAAATAAAGAATAAACTTTGATCACTTTTCACTTTATTCAGCTACAAAGTTGTTGAATCACTGACTTCAGCTGAAGCTTGTATCTCAACTTTTCTTCATGTTTTTTTTTAAGTATCTGTCTCAGGAATGAAAACATTCCTGTCATGACTCCATGGAAGTGCCTTTAACCCCAGACCTCATGTAAAAACATTTCATTTCTGGCAGAGACTGTTTTTTTTTTTCACTGCAGAAAAAGATTTTCTTTAAATTTAACTCAGTCATGCCTGAGTTAGTAAGTGAATGATCACAATGTACCAAAAGGAAAGAGACGACCCCCCCCCCCCACACACACAC